TGGGAGAGAGATGTGGCAGTCTGCTTCTGTAAAGATTTACAACCTTGGAAACCATATGGCGCAGTTCTACTCTGTGATATAGGGTCTCTATAAGTGTGAACTGACTCCACCGGAAATAGGTTTGGAATCCTTCTATTTATCTTTCCTTTTCATCCTATTAGCAGTCTGATCCCATCTCTATCTTCAGTGCCCTGGCCCTAATTCTCTTCTTTATAGAGGACCATTTCCCCTCCTCCAAATCCTGGAGATGGACAAGATCTACCTTTTACACCAAGAGAGGAAAAAGTAAAAAAATAAACTCGCAAGTAGTCCTCATCTTTTTTCTTAAAAAAAAAAAAAAAGATTTTAAAAATCAGTAATAACTTCTAAGATTGCCCACCGGTTTTTCCAAACAACATTTCAGATTTCCTTAGATACAACGAACACTTCCTTCTCCCTTCCCCGGAAACGGAAAAAGAAAAGGAAAGGCCCTGAACTCCAACGCTCGGGGATTCGTTTTCCCTCAGGTTTCCTGGTGGGCGGTGCCGACTGGCCGACGCCGACTGGCCCGCAGAGCCGTCGTTCTCAGCCGGCTTCGCTAGTTATTGGCTGTCCAGGGCACCGCCCCTTGAGCAGGGCGGGAGATTTGGTGTGCGGCTGGCAGGCCTCCCATCCCCCAGTGGGCCTCCTCTCCCTACTCAGTCCTGCTCTGGCGTTCTTTCCGAGTACTTGCCCCTCTGGCTGGGGCCAAAGCAGCTTTCCTTGCTGCGACGACTCCGCCCGGCGGCGTCCAGCAGGCGCAAGACGGCCAGGGCCACGCCCGGCGGGGACCTAGCGGTACGTTGTGGGACGACGGGGCAGCCTGCCTCTTTCTCCTTGGCTGTGGGCTTCTAAGGTGAGTTGCCTTGCGCTCAGCCTTAGCAGCCGAGCTGGGGCGTCTGCATCCCGGGTTTTGTGTTTCAGGGCTTACCCCCGGCAGCTAGGGCAGGGTCGCTGCGCCTCCCACTTCGCTCTCCCCAAGCTGGCCCCCTGTCGCGGCGGCCCGAGGACCCCCGGCTGGCGGAGCGCAGCCCGTTGGTCAGCAGCTGAGGCCCAGGGCGAAGTCTGTGGTATTTGTTGCAGTGAGAGGCCCCCTTTGGGAAGACTGTTCGTCTGCCTGTCGTCCAGCAGTGATAACCCTTCCATGCTAGGGACGCCCGAAACCAACATGCCCTTTCCCTGCCCTGAGGAGTCCTCTGCTTGTAAAAGGAGAACACATGAAAATCTGTAACGAAAGTAGGAAAGCGCCCCGTGAGCAGAGCAGGTACAATGAGAGATGAAAGGTTAAGAGATTGCATCCCAGAACTACACTATAGCGACAACCTTTGATGTCATCCCAGACTGGAAGCACCAAATGAGTCCAGCTAACTGAACGGTCACCCTGGGTCAGTGCTTGGTTGTAAAATGTTGATAAACTAGGATCCTTCGATACAGCTTTTAAAATGAAAAGGATGTTGATGCGTTACTATTCATTTTACAATTGAAATCAAATTAGACTAAAATTTCCTAGTGGAACCATGAGACAGCCCCTTAGTTAAATAACATTTGGAAGAAGAGTAAATAGCATGGTCCTGCACCTTTGTGTAATGGCACTGCCCGTTAAATGAGCATAATCCATTCGTCACTGATTGAGCACTTTTTCTGTTGTTAGATGTTGAATGAAATGTAGAGATGTACATGAGATTTGCATGGTAAATTGAAGTTTAGAGTAAAGATACCAATACTACCAGAACATTTAATGAGCAGTTTCATATGCCAGGCACATGATCTCATTTAAGAGACCCAAAATCGCACAGCTATAAGGTATAATATTAAAATTGGTGCTTAACCGTTAACCTATACCACTTTCTTTTTAAAGGATTATGTTAAAAAAAAATTGCAACAAAATTTTTATTTGCTCTCAAAGGAGAGTGTGTTGCTGTTAACACTAGGTGCTGCTGTATTGCCTTGCAGTTAACTTTGAGTGTGAGTTTTCTATCCCCTAACTCCTGGAGAGGAGCTAACTCACAGTAAGCACCCAAGCCAGTGCCTTGAAGGGTCATGTTGTTATGTGCCGTCTAGTCAATTGGGACTCCTAGCGACCCATATGACAGAACTGCCCCATAGGGTTTCCTAGGCTGTAATCTTTATGGAAGCAGATCGCCAGATCGTTTTCCCACAGAGCGCTGGGTGGGGGCTCAAACCGTCAACAGTTCGATCAGGAGCCAAGTGCTTAGCCATTGTGCCACCAGGGCTCCTTGAAGGGTCATAGATGGTCACTAAATATGACACATTAATTTATTGTGTGATTATTAGGTAGTGTTTTGTTTTTTCAGAGACTGTTGGAGAAGGAAGGTCTTTGTAGACATTTCTTCAGTTTGTTGATTCTGTACTATATAATGAGAAGCCTTAAAATCTAGATAAGGAAATTTGTGTATAAATGAATTCAACAACAAACAAGAGTTAGGCTGCTTCTGTCCTGGCCATTCTTATGCAAAATACCATAAGGAAATTATCTAGGACAATATTCAGTTACCTAGAATATTTGTTTTTAGATTTTCTTTGAAAGTCTTTCTTATTCCCCTGAAGGAACTACTAAACTTTTGCTAATGAGAATTATGTAACTGACCTTTCCTCCTTTTCACTTTGGTTGCCAGGAAGCTCAGAGCCAAAAATTCTTTGTATTTTCATTTTCTACTATTCTTTGTATTTTCCCCGGTCCACACTCCCTATTAGTATTTATAGTTTATCATTTGTTTTATTGCATTTGTTCATTACCACTGCTTCAAGTCCTTTGTGGAACACAGCAGTATATAATTAAGTAAAAATAACATAAATTATGCTGAATCTGGCATGCCATATTTGCTTTATAGAACTGGTTATGTTTAACCTAATGAACCAGAAAATTACTGCTGTCTATATAAATCTTTGGATATTTGAAGTACTTCCATATGGGAAAATGAGTAGACATATTATGAATAGTTTCTAGAGATCAAAGCAAGAGTTTAGGTTAACAGATTTTTATTTAATGGCAGGAGAGGTGTGTGGTATAATAGAATGATCAGGGACTTTGGATTCATCAAACTTGGGTATCAGCCCTAATACACTTTCTAATTATGTCAATTTGGGCAAGTAATTTAATACCTAACGTCAGTTTTACTCATCTGTAAATTGGGAAAATTATATGCAATATATGTAATACCTACCTCAATAGTCTGAGGATTTAGTGAGCTGGTGTACTTAAAAGTGTCTAATACAGTGCCTGACAAACAGCCCCCCCCCCCAAACTGTTAGTTTCTTTATGCAAATGTCATATAGATACATTAAACTTTTTCTCTAATACAACAGGGTGCCCTAGAATAGGAAAAATATCATGACTAGAAAAATGATCCAGAAGCACATTTTACTGGTAGTGGCCATATAGATTATAAAGTGTTATGTTTATATGCAAAGTATAAATGTCATAGAGTTGTTGGGAGGATTAAATGAGAATACATATAAAGTAGCCAAAACTCTGTATAGCATGAAAACCAGTTGCTGTTGAGTCGACTCTGACTCATAGTGACCCAATGTGTGTCAGAGTAGAACTGTGCTTCATAGGGTTTCCAGTGGCTGATTTTTCAGAAGTAGTAGATCACCTGGCCTACCTTCCAGGGCATCTCTGGGTAGACTCAAACCTCCAGCCTTTCAGTTAGCACCTGGTGTGTTAACTGCACCACCCAGGGACTCCATCTGATACATAGTAGTGCTCGAATTTTGGCCTTTTCTCCCCTCTCTCTAATATCCTGATCTCAATATAAGAGGAGCTTATAGGGCTTCCAGGCCAAAATGGTAGAAATCTTTTGACCATTACAACACCATCATAATTTAACTCTGGCTTTATAAGGACTAAGTTTATGTGTTCATCTTGTTTCTTAACATTCATGGACTCCTTGATTTTACCTTTTCACTTTTGCTTTTCTGTTAGCTGAACCTGTCTTGAGTTCTTTTTTGAATTACAGGTGATTCTACCTGAATTTTCCAGCTGCAGAATGTGTAATACCTTTAAAGGTAAATGAAAACTGAAACAGGTAATTGCATTGTAATGGTTGTTAAAAAGAAAACTTGGCACCATTTTGTTATCTGTATGCAAATAACTTTGTCTCATGAGGGTCACAGTCAGTAGTTCCTCTTGTCAGGAGAAAAGACAAAAACAGGATTTACAAGAGAAAGGGGAGAGAAAAAAATTCACTGGGCTCACTGCATCTTGGTTTACATTTTTTGGGTATGATGTGTTGGAATCATCATTGATTGGTTTCAGGCCATTAGCTTTGTAAGTTCTGAAACTAAATTTTGTCAGAGTAGCCACAGTTGATGAAGCTTTTGGTTGCCAACTGAACTCTGAAATCAATAAAGTATTGGAAAGATTCATATTTACCCTTTAGCTACCAAGATACCTAGAAAACCAAATTAATAATTGTAAAGTTGTGTGTGAGCATGCAATAAAAGTAAAAGCTGAGGGTTATTTGATCCAGGCTTGGTGCACCAGTGTAGTATCATAGACTTCTCCCAACAGACTATATCTCTCTAGTGAACAGATAGTAAAATCTGCCAAACCATTATTGTTTGCTTGGCTACCCCTTTTCTAAACTCTTGTGTTTAATCCACCCTCTTTCTGTTAATGTGGTTGTTTGGTAGATTGGTTACAGCTTTCTTTATAAGAATTATTTTCCTGAGATTACATTTTAGTTACCTTAATCAGAGTTGGCTTTTTCCAAATCTCAGACATTTCTTCCCTTCTTCCTTTATTTTTCACATATGGAAAAATAAAATTCAGTTACCTACAACCAAAAACATATTAACACAGTAATTCATAATATATTTTTAATACTTAAAGAGGCTTTTAAACCAAAAAAAAAAAAGACTTTTACAAGTTATACAAATACATATATTCATTATGTTAATGTTTAATTTTTTAGTGGTTGAATTTCATCACTTTTGAGTGATTTATTGCTTTTGTTTAGGTTGACAGTGATGAATAAACTGGAATTAAAGGAAGACAAGATGCTGGAGGTTCGATTTGTGGGGGATGATGATGTTCTTAATCACATTCTTGATAGAGAAGGAGGTACTAAGTGATTATATAGTTGTAGAGATGTTTATGTAATGCTTGTGGATTATTTCACTTTTTAAAATATTTTAACAATTCTTTCTATTTTGAAGATATAGCACAAAGTATTTGATCTAGTAAGGTTGTGAATAACAACTACTTTGATTTTTAGTTTACTTTATTCAAACTTTAATTGAAAAACAAAAAATAACAAAGCCTCATATGAAATGCTCAGAAGTAGTGGTAAATGATAACTACCCATTGTAATCAAAAGGTGTGGTTACTTGGACTGCAAGCATACCCTTTCAAGATTTTTTAAAATTTAGTTATAACAATGTGGAAGAATGTCAATACTTTCAATGAATTGAAGAGAAAACACTGAGAATCTTTTTTTTTTGGATTTAAGTAATGACAATATAAGTAATGTTTAAAAAGAATTTGTACCTGTCATGTTCTAATTCCTTGGATGTACTTACAGGAGCTAAATTAAAAAAAGAACGAACTCAGCTTTTGGTCAACGCAAAAAAAATAATAAAGAAGCCAGAATGTGACTTGGAGGAAGATGACCAGGAAGTCCTAAAAGATCAGAAGTATGTGGAAGTTTTGGGAAGAGATGTTCAAGGTATTTGAGGGGAGGAATGTACACTAATATTTCTGCTAATAGCAGATAATTGCTTTGCAGGATACACAGAAGTAGTCTGGTAGATTAGGCAGTGGTGTGCTATATATTTGTTTCACATTTTTGCTCCATAGTTCTCTTTTTAACAAACAGTCAGTTCAGTCCTGTATTTAATTATTTTTAGAAAGAGGGACTCTACAGACCAGCCACTCTAAAAGTGATTTTTTTAAGATGTTTATATTTTAACTAATTTTAAAGTAATTTCATAAAGCAAGTCACTTCGTTATTACCTTGATGTTCTTTACAGAAATAGTTGGAGGGAATATTCCAGGAAGTAATGTTGTTCAAACCTAGGCTTGCCACTGTTGTTTGTGTTTTACTTTTTGTTTGTGTTTTCTTTTTACACCTAAGCCCAATCCCTGCCATATTATACTTAAAATATTTTTTAGGTTGAATTATATTTTAGTTAGAGTTCTTCTGGGTACCAGGAGTAAGATCCACTCAAGCTGTCTTAAAAAAAATAAAAATCAAGAAAAAAATTCAGTATTGTTGTCAGTAGGGGTGTTGGAACTGTGATAATGTTTAAAACTGCGAGACACTGCTGTCGTGGGTTTCCCCGTCTCCTTCATATCGTCTCTATGCACCTGCTCTGTTCTTTCTGTGCCACCTATCTCCCTCTGTTATGGATTGAGTTATGTCCCCATAAAATATGTGTTCTAAATCCTAACCTCTGTGCCTGTGGTTATAGTCCTATTTGGGAATGGATTATCTTTGTTATGTTAATGAGGCAGGATTAATACAGGGTGTATTTTGATCCAGTCTCTTGAGATATAAAAGAGATTAAACAAGCAAGCAAAGTAGAGATAGGGTGAGAGAGATATAGTGCCAAGCCACGTGAAGGCTGTCCAGGAGCAGAAGCTCAGAAGAGACAAGGACCTTCCTCCAGAGCTGACAGAGAGATAAAGTCTTCCTCTAGAGCTAGTGCCCTGAATTCAGACTTCTAGCCTCCTAAACTGTGAGAAAATAAATTTCTATTTGTTAAAGCCACCCACTTGTGGTATTTCTGTTATAGCAACACTAAATAACTAAGATACCCTCACATACATGTTTTTTATTCTCTCATACTTGGCTTATAAATGTCCGTCATGACCACTCCTGACCTTTCTGTCACGTCTTCTTAAGTCTCAATGCTTCTAGTTTAGTTCCCAATGTTAAATGACTTGGTTTTTCAGTTCTCCAGTTCCAGATTCTCAAGAATGGATTTAGCTCAGTTCATCTTTTTAATCCAGAACATAGAAATGGCATATAATTGGAAAGCCCACAGATGAACCATATTGGGTTATTGTGCCTGCTCCTTAGTTCATTAACTATGATGGTGGCAGAGTCATGTAGTATAAAACATGACCCCTATCTCTCAATAGGCTTGGAGGGTAAGGTGGATTCTCTTAAAAGTCCCCAACTAAGCAGTTTACATTTTTAGGACATATTCTGAATAGAATTTTGAATTCTCGACTACCTATTCTGCTAGGCCTAAGAAGAGATTTAAAACAATATTCTAAAAGATAAACTTTTGTTTTCTTAAAAATTGTTTCTTCTTATTAAGAAAAATGAGTATTTATTATAGAAACTCTGGAGCAGTCCTTCTAATCTGTTCACATATCAGCACCTACAGCAAGTGACATTTGGAGAGACACACTGGAATAAATGGAGTAGGATGCTCCAGACCAAGGACAAATGCTCCTGGGCCTCTAACTCCTAATCCCACCCCCTTTGCAGGCCCTGAACGACATCCTCACATGCCTGAGGGGTCAGTATCTCAGCACACTGTAATCCTACCTCTTGTTTCTGTACACTGGTTGGGAAGCTATGCTTTAGAATAATGTTTCTCAACCATTTTTTCATTATCTTCCTTTAAGGGGCCTTTTGTAGCCCTGGTGGTGCAGTGGTTAAAAGCTCGCCTGCTAACCAAAAGGTTGACAGTTCGAATCCACCAGGCACTCCTTGGAAGCCCTGTGGGGCAGTTCTGCTTTGCCCTATAGGGTCATTATGAGTTGGAATCAACATGAGGGCAATGGGTTTGGTTTTTTTGGTTTAAGGGAACTTTTTAGACATTTTTTTCCTAATCATTCCCATCCATGAAATTTAAAACAACAGATATAATGTATATCTGTTTATGTATTGTGACCTTTTGAAGGACTGCAAACCATTGTAATATCTAAGAAAAGGTTTTTTCGCACTCCTTCTCCAAACCAGTTTTCACCCCATTGGGAATAGTACCGTCCTGTTAATGCATGTTTTAGAGAGCATGGAACTGTTAACATTTTGGTATGTTTCCTCTGTCTATACATGCATGTACACATAGAGGTTTATATGATTGTGTTTATAAAATAGGAGATTGTTATAGCATGCTTTTGCAATTAATGTGTCATGTATGCAAAAATCTGTATCATTAAATATTTTTCTACTCTGTCTTTTTTTATTGGCTACAGAGACTATTCCATTACATGGATGTACCAAAATTTAACAAGTCCCCTATTGTTGGACATATAGATTGTTGCTTATCTTTATAGAAATGCAAATTAAGACACCTTTCCCCATGAGATTCATTTTACACTCACTAGATTGACAAAGATTAAGGAGTCTGGTTAATATTAAATGTTAATGCAAATACAGATTACCGATCAATGGGAACTCTTAAACTTGCTTGGGAAAAGTTTGGTACTATTTTGTAATGTTGAGCTTTCATAGACTCTATGTCTCAACAATTCTACTAGATATATACCCTAAATAAACTCATACACATGTGCACTGGATCTAAGACACATGTAAGATATTCATGCAGTACCATTTATGATAGCAAAAATTGGAAACAACCAAAATATCTATCAACAGGAGAATGGATAAGTTGTGTTATGTTCACACAATGGAATATTATACAGCAGTGAAAGTAGATGAACTAAGCTATGCAAAATAATGTCAGTAAAGCTTAGAAATAATATTGAGAGAAAAGCAAATCAAAGGAGACTTTAATGTGATGTCCTTTTTTTGGTACAACTCAAAAAGAAACAAAAGTAGACAATGTTTTTACATTACATTTGTGATGAAGCTATTCTTTAAAAGCAAGGAATAAATTCAAGAAAGTAGTTACTTTTAGGGAGAGGGATATGGAAGGTGCACTCAAGTAGACAAGTGGTGTTGATAATATTTTGGTTGTTTAAATGTTTGTGAGTATATCGTTTGTTGTTTGCTTCATAATATGTGCTGCATGTATTCTTTTCTGTGTATCAAATATTAGGTGATTTTTTCAAAAAAGTCTTCTGGCATAGCATAGATAGGTTTAGGAACAATTACAGTGGACTCCGGCATACATAATCAACTGGTGGGAGCTGCTGTGCAGAGTTGTACTAAAAGAGTAGTTCTCAAACTTTTTAGTCCCAAGATCCTTTTATGTATAAAAAAATTATTGTGAACCCCATAGAACTCATATTGATGTAGGTTATATCTATTGGTATTTATTATATTAGAAATGAAAGCTGAAATTTAAAAAAAATTAATTTATTTAAAAATATCAATAATAAACTCATGACATGTTAATGTAAATTATATATTTTTAAAATGAAAGCCAACTATTTCCAAATGAAAAAAATTTACTGAGAAAGATATTGTTTTACATTTTTGCAAATATCTGGCTTAATAGAAGACTGCTAGGTTTTCATATCTGCTTCACACATCTCATTAGCCTACAGGGTGATGACATCATCACATGTCATGTAATCTCTAGATTATCTAACTGTATACTCTTGAGAGGTTGAGAGTGAAAAAGTCAAATAACATCTTAATATTATTCTAAAAGTAGTTTTAACATCTCAGTTTCCCAGATCACACTTTGAGAACTGCTGTACTAGAGAGCAGACTTCTAGCTACGAGTGTTCAGAGTGTTTGTAGGTATCAGTTGTTATTATTTAAAGAGGGGATTGGAGAAAGCCAGTTAAGTTAAATTCCATTAAGAGCACTTCTGCTATATAACAGCTATTTAAATCACACCCTCAGTTAACAACTGTATTTTGCAGGTTTGCTTCAAGAAAGAAATACAACCAGTAAAGTCTCTTTTTTCCTCCCTCCCCACAGGAACTACTGTTATAAATTGAATACATCTTCCTCTAACCCGTTTTTTGTATTTTTACATATATTTTTGTGTATCTATGAACAACATATATTTTATGTGTGTTTGAAATTTTATGAAACAGTATCATAGTCTACATATCATTCTGTAAGTTTTTTCACTTCATCTTATATTTTTAGAATTATGCATTGACATATGTAGAGACCTAGTTCATTTGTATTTAATCTGTATAATATTTCATGTATGAATATACCATATTTCCCAGGTCCCTTAATGATAGACATTTACATTTGTTTTCAGTTTTTCTGTATTACAAATAATACAGCAGTAATCATCTTTTGTACATGTCTCCTTATGCATATGTGCTAGAATTTCTACAAGGTATATTTCTGGGGTCTTATATAGGCAGTGTATAAGACTTCCCATTTTGCCACATTTCCACCAACATTGATATAATTAGATTTCTTTAAAAAAGTTTTCCAATCTAATTTCATATTAGTTTGTGGGTTGTGTCTTTATTTAAGAAATCCTTCTCTACTCCAAGGTCATAAATATATTCTCTAATATTTGTTTCTAATGAAGTTTACTAGTTTTGTTTCTTTTTATGTCGGGTGAGAGGTAGAGAATGAATTGTATACTTTCTATAATAAAAGCTAGATTTTTCTGACTACTTTTCCCCGCTAATTTGTAATTTGTGGTCAATTAAAAAAAATAGGTGACTACCTCTGGGTTAAGTCTGTGACCATGAAATAGAGCAATTCTGTGTGAGAACTGAATTGAAAATTTGGCTTCATCTTGGTGAGGTTGGTCTGAGCAGCAACCAACACAACACTAGTGCAGCTCCTTCAAGTTCTTGGTACAGTCCTCTGTTGTGATCTCTTGTTTCCTTTATGATATTGTGTATTTTTTTAATGTTTTATGTATTGTTAAAAGAGACCTTTGTGCAAGGCAATACCAAACCCAAAAAACCTATTGCTGCTGAGTCAATGCCGACTCATAGCGACCCTTTAGGACAGTAGAACGGCTCCATAGGGTTTCCAAGGTTGAACTTTTTCTGGATGCAGACTGCCACATCTTTCTCCCACGGAATGGCTGGTGCATTCGAACCACCAGTCTTTTGGTTAGCAGCCAAGTGCGTAACCGCTGAACTAACAGAGCTCCTTGCAAGGCAACAAGGGATACAAATATTAAGTTTCTAACTTAATGTTTGTATTTTCTTTTCTTTGCCCTTTCTCCTAAATGCATGTTGCATTTTCTCTTTCAGAATCCTTGAAAAATGGCTCTGCAGCAGATGGTGGGAATAAAGTTTATTCTTTTCAAAATAGAAAACACTCTGAAAAGATGGCTAAACTAGGTATGTTGCTTTTCTGATTTCTGTAATCCATATTCACCTTCGCTAAGAAGGTATATTTAACCAACCACTTCCAAGAAGATGTATTAACTAAGAAGGTATATTTAATTGTCGTCGTTAATGATGATTAAATATAATTGGGCTAATGAATATTTGGGGCTAGAAATAAACCCTGAAGGATTGGAAGGCTTTGTAAAATCAGAGAAGTGAATTGTACGTGTGAAAATGATTGAAATGGCAAATGTTTTGTTGTATATATTTTACCACAATAAAAATAGAACCAAAGACTGAACCATAGGCATTCCTATAGGTAAAATGTTGGGGAAAATGAGAATAGTGAAGAAGAGATGGAGTAACCACCAACAGAAACCAGAATAATGCCATTGGACCCAGAGGGAGGAATAATTTCAAGAAAAGATTGGAAAACCCTGGTGAGAGAGGATCAAGGAGATTAAGGAAAAAGAAGAAGCCAATACATTTGTAGAGACTATCATGAAAGTCTTGGGTCATTTTCAGTATTGGAGTATAAAAACGGGAGCTAATGGGAATAATCATGAAGAAATAGCCAACTTTTCAATGCTATATGTTTTACATTATTCATGCATATTATAGAGTTGTAGGTATAGTGTATACCATACTTTATGGGAGATTTAAGGGATTTTAAAATATACTTTTAAACGTGCACGGTTTTCACTTAATTGTAGATCATACTTTCTGGTCCTTCGTTCTCACCCCTTAGCAAAGATGTGCCTCAGGTATATATGATAAAGAAATAGAAGGAGTATAGGTTTGGCAGTGGCGAAGAGTGGAACAGAGCACAATAATTAACGGAAGCAGCAGGGTCAAAGTTAGTTCTTAATTTGTACTTTTTTTGAGAGACCTGTGGATAATTGAAGTTTTGAAGATATTGGGAAGACTGAATAAAGGTGAAAGCAGTAGTACTCTTTTTTTAAAAAAAAAAATATATTTTATTTTTGGTGGCAATATATACAACCAAACACATCCATTCACAATTTCTGCATGAACAGTTCAATAACATTGGTTACATACTTCACATTGTATCACCATTCCATCCCTACCCATATTGTTTTATCACCATTAGTTTAGGCTCTCTACCTCTTAAAGTTCTTGTCTGTGCTTTAGATTAACTGTTGTTGGTTTACACTCATATAGGTAATTCTTTGTAAGAGTGCCATGCTCAAGGCAAACATTCTTTATTAATTGGGCTAAACTATTGTTAAATTAGTGATGGTTTCATGGAATAGTTTCCATTGAAGGTTTAAAAATTATTTCCGGCCATTAGGTTTGGGGATTCCTCCAGCCTCAGTGGATCCAGTAAGTCTGGTTTCCATATGAGTTTGAAGTTCTGTTCCACAGAATAGAGTAGTACTCTTAATATAGGTAGATTTATTTATTTTTCAGATAAAAGTAGCGGTTAGTCTTTTTTTAATAAGCATTTATGTAAGTGGAATAAGGCTATTTCCCTCTTTATCTGCTGTTGTCCATGAAATGTTTGTTTGTTTAATTTGCCTGTTTACAGCTTCAGAACTAGCAAAAACACCAACAAAAAATGTTTCATGTAATGTGAAGGATGATCCTGAAGTAACAAACATTCCTCAAAGTAGCAAGGGTAAGACTTTGCCTCAGTTCTTTGAAGAGAGTTTTCATAGTTGCTTCAAATTATAGACTGTTATTTATTTTACTTGTCTAAGTAAATTTTTGTATTTTCTTTTCTATTCTCTAAATTCATCCAACAAAATGCAGTTAATACCCCAACCTGTGTGCCTTAGTGTACAGTGCCTATATTCAGCAGTCAATAAAAGGGGAAAAACCTGTGCTACTGAAGTTATGCAGATTGACAGGGCTAACTACAAACACTCTTACAGTCCATTGTCATTTGCTTGAGTTAGCCAAGTGTTCATCAAAGATTTGCTTTGGCAAATACCATTCAATTAAATCTTTGGGGGATTGGAAGTCTTGTATTTTGTGAAGAGTTGTTGGGCAGCTATTTTTGGTATATTCTATTTCAACTAAATTAAACATTGTACTTTTTAATAACCAACAATGGAAAGGTCCTTTTTTTGTTATAGTAATACTACAGAAATGCAAGAAATAGTTGTCACTAATGGGAATAATCACGAAATTAATAGTGAAAATTCACCTCTAGTGAAGATGCAGTTAATTGAGAATTTAATAATATATGGCCACTTCTGTGTAGAAACTGCCACTTTGCTTTTAATAAAACTAAACCGTGATGAAAAGTGAAGTACTTATAGTAAGTCATGGCTTTTTGTTTCATTCTTTAGGGCATTCTGCATCAGACAAGGTTCAGCTGAAGGTAAGCAATTGACTAAAAACAAACAAAAATGTAACTATTTCAAAGTAAGACATGATAAAAAATACTCATTTCATCTCTTAATTTATATAGTGCTTTATAATTTACAGGTAATTGTCAAATTAAATACCTACCTTATAGATGAAGAATTTGAGGCTCAGAAAGGTGAAGTGACTTGGGCTGAGTTCACCCAACTAGGAAGGAGAAAAGGTGGAAAATGAAGCCAGGTCTACTGGACCCAACTGTCTTGCTTTTTCTGCTATGTCAGAACTATCCCTGGGTATTTTCAATTTAGTAGAGCTGGCCTGGAAATTTTATGGGTTTTGTTTTGTTTTGCTTTTATATATACTATTCTGTTGTTTCTTGGGGGTTGATCCATTAATCTCTTATTTTATAATTTACATTTGAAAGCTAAGTTGGCTGTAAAATGGGCAGATTCGTTCACGGTTGCTGAAAGTAATTGACATTATTTATCCCCTGTTTTGTATTTTTGGGGTTTTGTGTTTTCATCATGCCTTGTCAAATGGGTGCATGGGTGTGGGCAAGCCCATATGGACATGGAAGAATCCTAGGCCTTGGTGTTTCAGGGCATTGGGTATGTGAGTGGTGAGTGTGTCCGGGCCTGGGTGGCTGTAGACTTAGACACACCTGGATAAGAGTGTGAGTAGAGACATTCAAGGTCAGTGCAGACACGTTATGTCTGTGCAGACATGTCTGTTTAGGCCGGTCTAGCTGTGGGATAGGAGCCCTGGTGTCACAGTGAGTAAGTGCTCGGCTGGTAACTGAAAGGTTGGCAGTTCAAAGCCACCGGCCGCTCTGTGGGAGAAAGATGTGTCAGTCTGCTTCCATAAAGATTTACAGCCTTAAAAACCCCATAGGGCAGTTCTCCTCTGTCCTATAGGGTTGTTATGAGTTGAAATCAACTTGATGGCAGTGGGTTTCAATGGAGGTGTGGGATTAGAAATGTCACAGCCTACTTTGTCTTTAGGAATGCTTTTTTCTCTATTTTATCTTGTATACTGTATCGCTATAAAAGAATGAAACTCATTTCCATAATCCAATCAAGAAATTAGATACATTATTCTTTTTCAAGTTGTAAATCAGAATCATTATTTACTATCTTATTGACTCTCCAAAAGACCTCCAGAAAACCTGTTGATCAGACAAACCTAAGTTTATTAGACCTGCTGCAATAACTACATGACAAAGAGGCTTAGTGTAGTGTCCATGGAAGAGGGAGCTCAGGGGAGGATATGTATAGGCTTTGGGATCTGGGCTCAGGTGGTTTAAGGAATGCCTTTTAAGATGAGGAACTGATTGGACAAAGTTCACAACATGATATTTTAGGATTGGTGGACAGAGTGAGGAAAGGATCTTGAAGGGAGTATTGATAAACTGTTACTTGATAAGCAAGCTGTTTGCCCTGTTGAGTAATCTGTTGTCCTGCTGTGAGAACAGTTTGCCCAAATGAGCAAACCGTTTAGATAAACTAGTTTGCAGAAATTTCCTGTAGCAAACACTGAAGTTATTTGTTAGTTAATAGCCTTATCTTCTTGAGCAAGAATTTTCTGAAACAAATCGTTATTTTGACACAGGTGCTCTCAGTTCTCAGACCTGATAATTAAGCTGTGTGGGTGCAGGTTGTCTCAGTTTAGTAGGACATGACCTGCATTTTAAAAAATGAAATAGAACAGAATAGAAATTTTCTATTTTGTAAGTATTGTTTTCTTATAATTTGTTTCAGTTATATATGCACATGTGTACTGGATCAAGATAGCAAAATAAAAAAAAAAATTGGAGAATCTTGATCAAACACATTAAACATTTCCAAATCAAATTTTATTTTATTAACAGTTGTTTTAACTAATACAAACAATTTATCACAAAACAGTAGACTTAAGTTTTTTGTTGTATTTTCATGTGAAAAAAAAAAACAGTACTTTTATATATAATTAGTACTGTTAGATACTAACATGTGTATAGCAGTAGCCATTGTAATGTGCTGGAATTTTAATGGTATTATTGTATTCTGTGAGGAAGAGAAAAACATGAAGACATGCTTTTTTACTTTATATGTCTATAAAATATTTTAAAGTTAAAAGATATGGAAGTAAAAAGTATAAATTCCTGTTTCCTCCTCACAGAATGTAATACCTTAACACCAATAAATTCCTAGTACACATGGGAGTGCCCATTTCCGTGCATACTTATCAACACTGGATATTATTACCCCTTTTTTTGTGTGTGTGTTTTTAATATTCTGCTAATCTGAGTGTGAAAAGTGGTTCACAAGGCTGACTTATGTTTTTTTTCTTTAACTACATACTTTACAAGTGTCCTAGAATACAGTTTCTAAAATCACTCTAAGAATCCTTTGGAGTTTGTTTTTGTTGTTATATTCTTCATTATTTTTTCCCACAAATGCATTTGTCTTTATCTTCCTAAAGTCTTAAATTAGAGGCTCCTCATTTAAATCAAAATATTTTTCTTTTCTAGCCTCTTTCAGACCAGTCATTAATTTTCCATGTCATTATTATTATTTGACTATTTAACTATAATGCTTTTTGTTTTTTAAAACAGAACAGTGACAAAAGTGAATTTCTGTCAACAACATCTAGTGGTCCAAGGAAAAGACTAATAGGTATGTATTTCTTTTTACTAAATTTTTTTATTGCCCATCTAAAGAAGAGGCAATAGTGTTTAAGTATCCAGCTTCTAGAGTTAGGCTGCTTAGTTTTATAATTTTTTCTGCCCCTTACTAGGGCCTCTCTATACCTCAATTTTATCATTTGTGAAATGGGGATAATAATGGTACTAGCCTCACAGTTGTTATGAGAATTAATTGAAATAAAGAATGTCAAAATGCTTATTGTAGTGCTTGACCTTGATAAGTGCTTAACAAGTATTAGCTATTATTATCTTTTATTATTGTAATTGTAATTATGACTGTTTTTTGCTATATCTTTTCACGAGAGAAAGGATTTGCTCATTTCATCAATTAAACTAGATTCTTTAAGGGTAATGACTATCTTTTTAACTTTAACACTCAGCAGTATGTCTTTCACATTATCGTCAATAGGTATTGAAATCTATTAAAACATCTCTCCAATAAAATAACATGCCATTTGGAATACTTGTTTTGAGACAGTTTGGAGGAGGGTCTATTGATTTATTTAGAAATTTTAAATGAAATAATATTAAAGATTCGTATTTGTACTGAATGCTATACAAAGCCAACTAAACACACACAGGTCCTGCTGTCTGGGAAATTAAAATGGTTTTAGATATTTAAATATTTCGCTTTGGAACAAATAAATAATTGACCTTTATGTTCCAGAATGATGTAAGCCCCTTTCTTGTGGTTTTAACCCCTGGCAATAATACTAGCTAACATTGTCAAATCCAGTCAGACTCCACTGCTTCATGCTATAGCCCTTTTCTTTCAAGGCATAGATTTTGTAGAGCTGTTAATCCTACATTTTTAATCAGTATAAAAATGATAATCCTAAATGATTGGATATCTGAAACAATAAAAAATAATATATGTAATGTTTATTATTGATTATTTTACATCTGATACACCCCATAGCCTAAAGAAGAATCCTTTGTGAGAGAAGATAAACTTCCTCTCCCTTCTCAATCACCACCAAGCATGTATACCTATATGCAGGATGTATACATGTAAATAAGAGGGAGACATTTTCTGGTGACTCCTACCACTTTAATGTATCTTCCATGGACAGCAGCAGTGCAGATCTGAATCTGCTAAGTTATTTATGCCTATAAAATCAAGCCCTTTAAAAAAAAAGTTTTTTCAGTTAGTATCTGTACTTACTATATACTGACTCTAGATAATCCTCTGAAATATATCTATTATTCAAAATAAATGTACTGATTTGGTGGAAGTTATTCCATATTTTACAAGTTAACTTTTAAAAATTGTTTTACACTTTGTGTTAGTTATACTTATTTTGATTAGTGTAAAACTAGCTTTATTATTTCTGGAAAGTGGTGGAGGTGGTTATGATTATTTAAAAATTATACTGTTTAAATCTGGAAGCAGAATTCCCCTCAATTCTCATTGGTCAAACAAAGGGTTATATATAGCAGCTCTAGCTACAAGAGAGGCTGGGAAAGCAAGTGTCTGGCAAAAGGAAAAGACAATTGCCAAGATTCATCCCCTGAGGTGGGGCACATTGCCACCCACATTTTATAGAATTGGAGTTCTGTTAACAAGGAAGAAGGAAGGAGAATGGAATTAAGTATCAATGGACAGTTTCTGCCACAGTTTCTACTGTGTGTCAGGCATTATTAGGTGCTTTACATACATTTCAATGTAATGTTCACAATGGTTTATTAAATTAGGCACTATTAGCCATATTTGACAAACGAAGAAATTGATCCTGAGAGATTTTATGTAACTGACTAGCTCTGGTGAAATCATGAGCAAATAATGACAAAACCAGAATTCAAACTCTCTTACTTCAAAGCCCACAATGTTACATATTACTCCACAATGTTTCTCTTGTCAAACTGTCAGATATTCCCAAGTGTTTTTTTCCCCCCACAGTTCCAAGTTCTCATTCTGACAGTGAAAGTGAATATTCTGCTTCCAACTCAGAGGATGATGAAAGGGTTGCACAGGAATATGAAGAGGACAGTAATGAAGTCATATTGAGCCAAAAGATTCAAACTCAGAACAGAGTAGTTTCAGCTCCTGTTTGCAAAGTAACACCTTCTAAGAAAATGAAAAGAGATAAAACAGTAAGTCAAGAGGGAGACTTTTAACCTTAAATGAAAAATAGTGTAATACTTCAAAGCTAGAATAAGAGATCCAAATCAGAGAAGTCCAACATCATTTTTTTCCCTCTTTCTTCACTTTCCTGTAATTTCTTAGCCCTGCACATTTTACTAAATATCACAATGAATCTCTATCATATGAGGCTTTAATATAGAATCCCCTCAAGAATAGGAACTGTGTCTTTTTTCTTATATTTTAATTTACTATACAAATTATTTTTTAACAGTTTACTACAGTAATTTCAAGAACAAAAGTCATTTATAATCCAGTCTTTCTAAATATCTCATTTTCATTTTTAATGTTTTCTCCTAGTCTTTAAACAAATGCATACATTAATACTTCAGAATAGAAATCTTAGTGAACAAATAATTTTGTAGTCTTCTTTTTGTACTTAAAAATTTTCCATACTTTTACATAACCTTCATTATTTTAATACTAAAATGTCATTAATCAAGTCCCTATTTTGGAATATTTACATTGTTTTTTATTTTTACTGTTGTAGGTAATGAATCAATAGCTATGTTGTTGTTATTTTTCCCCTCTCTTGACTTATTTTCATAGAATAAATCCCAGGAATGAGATGAGGATAGAAAAAGGCATGGTATGTCTTTCATAGTTTGCCACTGCTTCCAGAGTTGTACCAGTTCACAGTGACATCAACAGCACATGAGTGTATCATTTTTACTGTAAACTTGCTAGTGTTAGCATTATTATTTTTTCTTAACTTTAGCTCCTGTTTAGGAGCTCCTTTTTAGAACATCTTTATATATTACCAAGATTAGCTTTCTGTAGCCACTTTTGCCTTTTTTTTCCTCCCCAAGGAAAATGCAAGGTATTTCATGTTTTAAATGAGTATTCTACTTATAGCCTCTTCTATATCTCACTTTGTTTATTGAGTATTTCTTCCACTTCTCAGTGGTAATACATTTATTTTAAAGCTTAAAAAAAAAAGACCGAAGTGACTGATTTGCTTAAGAGCCTGGTAACTTAAAATTTTGTTTTAATTTAATTTTTCAGTAGTTTTATTCATATGGTTAAACTGTTCAAAAAATTAAAAGCTACACACTGAAAATTCTCCCTCCTACACCTGTGTCCCTTGTGCCCACCTGCCCCCACCTCCCACAATAGGTAAACATTATTTTATAATGTATCCTTTTAAAGGTTTTTTTTTTTTGCTTGTACAAACATATACTTACTTAATCCCCTTTTATACAAAAGATGATGTATTATACACGCTGTTCTGCATTTTGCTTTTTTATCTAACAGTACATTTTGGAGATCTTTCCATATCAGTAATAAAAGAACAACTTGTCTTTTTTGTTTTATTTAAATGCCTACATAGTGTCTATATATAAATGGATATTTATTTAACCAGTCCCAGTGGATCGACAGAAGGAGCCCTGGTGGCACAGTGGTTAAATGCTTAGCTGCTAACCAAAGGTCGGCGGTTTGAACCCACCAGCCGCTCTGCGGGAGAAAGACGTGGCAATCTGCTTTCGTAAAGATTACAGCCTTGGAAACCCTATGGCTTTCTTCTCTGTGTCTAGCAGTTCTACTCTGTCCTATAGGGTCTCTGTGAGTCAGAATCGACTCCATGGCAGTGGGTTTGGTTCGGGTGGATGGACGTTAGTGTTGTAGCTAGTCTTTTGCTGTTATACACAGTGCAGTGCTGCAATTAATAATCCTTGTACATAGTCATTTCTTACATGTGTTTTATTTATCTGCAGGATAAGTTGCTTGATCAGAGAATAAATATATTAGTAATTTTGATAAATACTACTGAATTGTTCTCCATAGTGATCGTTTTAATTTATACTGGTATGAAAATACTTGTTTATTTGCTGCCTTGCCAACTCAATGTGTTACCAGACTTATCCCAGTATTGTTATAATTTGCACTTTTCTTAGATGAGTGAAACTGAGCATCTTTTTGTATGTTGAAGAGCTGTTTGTATTTCCTTTTCTGTGAACTGCTTATTCATATGCTTTGTATATTTTTCTCTTGAGTTGTTGGTCTTTTCCTAATGAATTTGTAGGAGTTCTTTATATATTACCGAGATTAGTTTTTACAGTCACTTCTGCCTTCCTTTTTCCCCCCAAGGAAAATGTAAGGTATTTCACATAAGAAAAAATTCAGTTCATAAACAAACATAGGAAAATGTTCAACACGGTAAACAACAGAGGTATGTGCACAAAGATGTTCATAGCAACATTAAGCATAATACAAAATCGAAAACAAATGTCCAACCATAGAGAAATGGTTAGGTAAGTTATAGCATATATACTCAGTAGACTGGTATATAAACATTTTAAAAGTGATAATTATACAGCAGCATGAAAAATTAACAAATTGCCAAGTGAAAAAATAGATACAAAATTATATATACTGTTATAACTAAAAGACACCTAGATAAAAGGACTGGAGCAAGGCAGTATCATGAATAAAATTTTTTTCTTTTGTTTTCATTGTAATTTGTTATAATACACAAAAATCCTTTTTTATTTAATAGAAACTAGTTACATTAGGAAGATAAAAATTTAGAAAGACTTGTAAAACTTGGAATTTGGGCAGTGTGTTTGGTCTTTGTCACATTTTTGATTCCTAAACTATGATAGCCCAAGTTGCTTTTGCTTTGTAGGCTATTATGGAAACTGATTGTGGTACACCTGTCTGGAACAGAGGCTGATAGTGCTTTGGGTCCCATGCTGGATTATCTTGGATTTATAGTAGGGGAATGTGCAAATTTGTTCTGAGTGTAATTATCAGGGATATATAGTAGTGTTGTAGCCCTCTTATAGGAAAGGAAAGCTCTGACTTAACATCTGTACTTTATGTTGGAGAAACAATGCAGAACAACACATTTGGGGCTACTGTAAAGGACACAATGAGCACATAAGCAAATGCACCATGAAAGCCCCTTGGTCTGTATAGAGCAAGCTCTTCTTTTCCACATCTGAGCTCCCACCTGAAAGTAAAGTCAGAACAGCCCCTAATACAAGGGGCATAAGGCCTGTGCATCTGGAAAACTATACAGAATGTTGGATCCTAAAGCAAGAATGAAAACTAGTTGTTATTGAGGCACCTCCAACTCACTATGACCCCATGTGTGTCACAGTAGAACTGTGTAGGGTTATCAGTGGATGATTTTTCAGAAATAGATCCACCAGACCTTTCTTCCGAGGCGCTTCTGGGTGGACTCGAACCTCCAACCTTTTGGTTAGCAGCTGAGCACGTTAACTGTTGGCACCACCCAGGGATTTGTAATATTATGATTAGAGCAGCCAATGAAATTCAACATGTTCAGGTTGCATATAAGTTTTCTGTTCCTACCTATAGTACAAACTCTATGTAACCTGGTTTGAACTTTGCCCTTGAAAATCCAGAATGGATACAAGAGAATTTTGTAGTTAATCAAATGAAAGGAAAGTTTAAATTTAGAGACAAAGCATCAGTAACTAAAAAGTGTGGTATTGATATATGACTGTACAGACAGACCAGAAAAGAATGTCCAAAAATAGACACAGATATATCTGGGAATTTAGTTTATGCTAAAAGTGGCACCTCAGTTCAGTTGTATAAAAGTGAACTTTTGATTAGACAGTTGGAGGGAAAATCTCTCAGTATATACCTTTTTATATAGTTTTATAGCATTGGGGATGTATTTAAGTCAGTGTAAGTAATAAGTGATGTGGCTATAGACCCATGTTGACTTGTTTAGAAGAACACCGAGAAGAGGCTTATTATCCTAGTATTCTGTGTAAACATCCAGAGCAAATGTAGGAAGCCTACTCCTTGAATGGCTTCCCATCCCTTCCTTACCACCCTGGAGATTAGTCCTACCCAGAGACAGAAAGTAGAGTAAGTAGTGAGCCATTGTACTGAAATAGTAGGCAAGTCTTTTTAACCTTGCTACTGATTTCTTCCTCATTTTCACAGTTCTTCAGCTATACTAATAGTAAAGACTTTACTTGAACTATTTGAGAAGCAAACACAAATCCTAATGTATAAGAACCATTTTTTTTTTTTTTTTAACGCTTAAGTGGAGGTTATATGTTAGTACTTAGGAATAAGTTTTAGGAGCAGACTACTTCAATCTAGTCATTTCTTTAACTTTTATGATCCTAAGAGTTAACTCAGTTTTATTACTAGAATTAAATGTGCTTGGTCCTTAACCTTAAAAAGAAAATACCACCTATCAAGGAATTTCACATATTCTGTTTTACACTGTTTTGCTGTCTAGTTTTGATATAAAACAGATGTCTAAAACTAGTAAGAACTGACTTTGCTATGTCCCATTTCAGAGTGACTTAGTAGAAGAGTATTTTGAAGCTCACAGCAGTTCAAAAGTTTTAACCTCTGATAGAACATTGCAGAAACTAAAGAGAGCACAACTGGATCAGGTACGTTGCAAGGAATGTTACTTGTAAACTTTTCTTGTTGTGAGCTGAAAAGTATGCTACATAAGCAAGAGATCTGAAGAGTAAACCTGCACGAGCAGAACTCTTGTCCTGATCAAATGAACACTAATTCATGTGAAAAAATTATTGCACATTGATTTTGTTGTATAAGTGGTAAATAGTTCACTGGACTAGAATTCTCTGTTGTTAAGTGCTGTCAAGTCGATTCTGACTCATAGCGACCCTATAGGACAGAGTAGAACTGCCCCATAGGATTTCCAAGGAGCAGCTGGTGAATTTGAACTGCTGACCTTTTGGTTAGCAGCCAAGCTCTTAACAACTATTCCACCAGGGCTCCAGAATTCTCTTTGGCATAGTATAATTATATGGCTTTTCTCTTGTTATTTTATCATTTCTCCAAGGTCTGCAATAAGGGTCATAGTTTCTTTGATATCTATGTACTATTAATTTCCGTTATTAATTTAGCTCATTTATTCATTCATTCTCACACTGGTCATAAAACAAAGACTATGGCCTGACTTTGCAAAAAGCAGAGAGTATGTTATGGAAAACCTTCCCATTGAGGTAAGACAGTGAGGTTACTATACACTGTGGTTCCAGGTGCTCATTTTACTAAAAATGCCCCACAATTGTACTAGTTGGGATTTTGACTGATACCTCCCTAAGAGCGGAAATCTTTCAATAGGAGGTGGAGTTGATAATCTGAGTAAAGAGGAGATTATTATTAGCTCAGAGAGTATCAAGATTATTCTCTGCAATTCAGAACTTGGTGTTATTTTCTAAGGTGCCCATGACTTTTGATGTAGGAGTTTTAGTTTGGGACTAGCTATAGAAAAGAGAGAGGAGTCTATAGGGTAAGCATTTATGATCTGGATAATATAGTACTGTGTTTTTTGTTACCTAGTTCATAGATATTAAGACTCAGATCAGAGACTAGCTGAAAATGTATGTCAAGAAGCTAGCTTATTCCAAGGAAGAGATGATGCTAACATCTGCTTAGTGCATATATTTTTATAGAAGTAAAATGGGAAAAGGATAAATGAATCTAGGGTCGAAGTAGGACTTCAAGGACCTGGAGGCAAAAAGACCTCCAGGAGGATAAAAGAAACACCTCATGATAATGAGGGAGGGGAAGGCCTTCCAGTGATTGTGGAAAGAGTTAACAAATACAGTCTCAGTGACATGGGGCAATAAGCATTTGTTTCTGAAGTTTGCTCCACATAGGTGTCTTCCTCCTTAGAGGACTAGCTGAGGCAAGTTCTCATAGCAGTGTCAGAGTAGTAAGAGAGCAAGTGGTAAAACACAAGGCCTCTTAAAGCCTACACTTAAAACTGGCACATTATCGCTTCTGCATTCATTCTAGCAGCCACAACAAGTCATGTGGCTGAAAACAAAGTCAAGAGGCATGAAACTGTACTCCACACCTTTAGTGGGAGGGACTGCAGAGTCACATGGCAAAGGGTATGATTACAGGGAATGGGGAAGAATTGGGGCCAATAGTGCAGTTCTCCACAGATATTAATTTGAAATGAAAGTGTATAGATAAGAAAACATTCCAGCATTCACACTATGAGTATTCTGGATAATCCTGTGTAAATGACTACAGGCAGTTCCTGGGTTACAAACGAGATCCGTTCCCAAGTCTGTCTTTAAGTCTAATTTGTAGGTAAGTCAGAACAGGTACATACCATTCTTACCTAGGGTCTGCCAAACGTGTGTCTTTGTATATAGTATATGTTTTACCTTTCTATCTTTAAGTCGGAATCAACTCCATGGCAACGGGTTTTGTTTTGGTTGGATGCATATAAAACACTTAAACACTTCTAAACCGCAGTGTTTTTATGAGTGTCACAGAGTAGCGCGTGCATTCATTATTATGCACCATTATGTGTATTTAATTCAAATTTTTTATATAGTAGGCTTTATGGCAGTCCGTTCGTAAGCACTAATTGTCCGTAAGTTGGATGTTCATAACCCAGGGACTGCCTGTACTAGAAATGATACTAGTGCTTTTTCTGCCTTTATATCTATTTAGAAGTTTTGCTGAGAGCTAGTCCTGTTTTCTTCAGGTATGTGAATAAGTAAAAACTGTACAGGCCAGAATGCCTAGAATGTTGATTGCAAAACTAGTCTTCAGAATTAAAAGAATATGTTACTTTAAAGGTAAAAAACTTCTCCATACTTATAAAAGATAAATTTGTCAGATGTAGCTTTTGGAAGAGAACCAGTAGTATAAGTTTATTTTACTAGTGATAATGATAAATTATAAAGAAACTTTAATGTTTTCTAAGAATTAATATTGTACTGTTACTTAAGGCTTTTACATTTTTTTTTCAAAATCCATAGTTTTTTTTATTATACTTTAGATGAAAGTTTACAGAGCAAACTAGTTTTCTCATTAAACAATTAATACACACATTGTTTTGTGACATTGGTTGCAAAATCCATAGGTTTTTAAAAGTCTGTCTGGATTTGTTATCAAAGCTGGGAGGCAGATTTAATCATCTCCTTATGGTAACGATCTTTTTAGCAATTAAAGCCGTATATTTGGAATTTATAATCATGTAAATAGTTCTAGACAAAGCATAGCAAATTCTTCATTGTTACTACACATTTGCACTGTTAACAAGATTTCAAAAAGGATGTTGAAGAAAACAAATAGTTAAATCATATGCAAAGTAGTATGTATATTCAATTAATGTACTGTACACATTACCAAACCAGATTAAAAAATGTTTCTACTAATGACTTCTTCTAACTTCTACCTCTAGGGAAATATTTTCCATTTGGATTGACTTGATGTATGTGTTTTGAGAGTGATTTTTCTCCCTCTTTCCTTTCTTTTTAAGCAAACTTTGTGTAACTTACTGAGCAAGGTTTCTCCTTCCTTTTCTGCTGAACTTAAACAACTAAATCAGCAATATGAGCAATTATTTCATAAGTGGATGTTGCAATTACAGTAAGTATTATAATCATTGCAAACCCTTGTTAAACAAAAGATAATATATTTATATAAATCTTAATGTTAAAAGGAAAGCAATGTAACATATTTAATTTTATTTTTACAACAAACTTGATATATATTTAAGATAGCTATTTTTCTAATTGTATGACTCATCTTAGAAATTCCATAGTTTTAAGAAATTTGTGTTTTCTAAGTTTATCAGACTTGACAGCCCATTGGTAAAATAAATAGCCTTTTTATAAGTTATTATTCATAAGAATATTTAAACTCTAATATGTCAAGATTGATAAATATATCAGTTAGGTTTCGGTCTGGTTTTCCGCAACAGAGTTTCTGATACGAAAGAATGTATATTTCTTTTAATTTCATTCTATATATATATATATACCATAGACTTTCACAATTTTGTGATTCTATATATATACCATAGACTTTCACAATTTTGTGAGCAGATGTGTTCTATAAACATTATTTTCCATTTTTAAAATTATTTCCTAGACTTTTTTTTTTTTTCAATTTTATCCGTTTTCATATGCCTTGGGTTAAATTTTAAATTTCCATCAAAACCTAGAAAAGTGACTAAAATCAAGACATAGCATTTTTATTACTATAGTTACTTTCATACGTATACTAAAAAGGACCTTTATATAGGGAAGTGCTTAAGATGTACACTACTGTGAATACACACATACTCACAATTACATAGTGTCACGGGGGTGAATAAGAAGGCAGGTCCACCAAGCAATCAGAACATAGAAATTGCCAGAATCGCCCCCAGTCAGTCCTGGTTTTCTTTTGCCAATAATAGGTCCAAGAGTTGTTCTGGGAAGGGAGTGGCTATTTTCTCTGCAAGCATCTCAGCTTCTCTCAATAAGGTGTTTATGATCTTGTACATTATAAATTTATAAAGCAGCTCTTCACTCTAATCCTGTTCTTTTCCTAGTATTTCAGCTCCCAGATAACTTGATTTGCTTTGCTACCCAGCCTAGATCTCATAGTCATCTACTTTAGTAGAATTGCTAACTTCCTGAATTACCTTCCTTCTTTCTGCTGCTTTTGCCTTGCTAGTTGTCTGCTTTTAGGGGTTATCTCTTTTCTTTTCTTCTGTTTCTAGGCTGTCCTGCATAACTAGAGAGCATCACATAAATACTGTTTGCTGATTGACTTCCATAACAGTCATGGAGTTGAACTTTAGCTTGACCCCTAGCACTTGGTGTTTTGGTGGTCTTAGTGACTCTCGGCTTCAATTGCGTTTTGTATGCTGAATGACTCCCCTAACTGTATTTCCAGCCCAGACCTCGCTCCTCAGAAGCAGACATGGATTTCTGAATATATATTGGAGGTTTCTACTTAGATGTCCTGTAAATAATTTAACATACATAAAATAATAACTTATTCTAAACCCATTATTCCCAACTAACCCCGCTACCCAGCACAGTGAATATCATCCAATTCACATAGTTGCCTATGCCAAAAAACAAAGTTATTCTTAAATATTTCCTTTCTCTCAACGTCCACATCTAATCAGTATCCAGATCCTATTGATTTGACCTCCTAAAAAGCTTTTGATAGCTTACATTTTTCTCCATGACACCTAACTCATCATCATCTTTTGCCTGGATTACCAAAATAGCTTCCCAATTGCCTCTAGTTTTGCCCCTCCTTCCTGTCCATTCCCCACACATACCCAGTGTGATATTTCATGTTATTTTCCTACTTAAAACTTTTCAGTTAATGCTTTAGTAATTTTTAAATGTTCATTGTCTTTAGAATAAAGTCAATCTTAGCATGGTTTAATAAGACCTTCGTGATCTGGCCCCTGCTTACCTTTTCAATTTACACTATCAGTTTAAATTCTGCTTCAGCCTATAAAACTTTTCACTGCCTTGCACTGGCCATGTTCTCCCTTGCCTTTAGGCATCTGTCACTTTAAAAATAATAGGAGCTGAAGGGAAAGCTATTGAAGAAGTTGGAGTGATAAGCTTGGTGTACAGACAATAAAATTGTGCTTTTACCATGTATGAGTTTGGAATCAATATAGTTATTTATCTACCCCAATTCTTCCTGTATTCTTTGTAAGCTTAAATTAAGGAAACTGATTATAAAATTGGCAGTAGGAGATACTGAACTCTAATTTCATGAATGGTCTCTTTCCTAACAGCCTGGGGTTCAACATTGTGCTTTATGGTTTGGGATCTAAGAGAGATTTACTAGAAAGGTTTCGAACCACCATGCTGCAAGATTCTGTTCATGTTGTCATCAATGGCTTTTTTCCTGGAATCAGTGTGAAATCAGTAAGTTGTTGCCAAAATGTTAAAGGGAATAAAACTATGTCCCATGCCAATCCATTCCTCCCCCACCACAATTAATGAGGATGCTACTTCTCATTCTGGAACATTCAATTTAAAGGACTTTTGTTTTTAGCCTTCTTACTAATAGCATTGCGTAGTGCTTAAGACCATGTGGTTAGACTCAGAGTGCTACTTCAAATCCCCATCTTTACATTTCCTGTTTTGTAACTATACATATTATGCTTTAGGGAAATGTAAGCTTTGTTAGCTATGCCAAACATCAACGGTTCTTCTCTGAAAGATGAGATTATGGAGGACTTCAACTCTGTTATACTTTTATGTCATTTTGGTAATCTAAAAATAATAAAAATTTAAGTAATCATTTGTGGTTTTACAGTTCACTTATCATAGATCATTTTTACTCCAAATGCTCATATCTCTTCATCATTTGAAAATTAATTTACAGCTTTTGAGTGCTGAATATTAACTAATACAGTATTCCTTTTTAAAAATATCCTTGGTGTTTTTGTACTGTTCGCTTTGATGAATCTGTAGTTTTCTAATGTTTCTCATATCGTTGGGGTTTGTTTTTGTGCCCACTTATGTTCTTTACATATTTGCTATTCTTTCTTGTTTCTTTTTAGCTGTAATTTATGGAAAAAATAATTTAGCGACCCCCAAAACTATTGCCCTGAGATGATCTTATCTGTCAGGTTGTTGTACTGTGGAGGCTTGTGTGTTGCTGTGATGCTGGAAGTTATGCCATAGATGTTTCATATAGCAGCAGGGTCACCCATGGTGGACACGTTTCAGCAGAGCTTCCAGTCTAAGACAGACGAGGAAGAAGGATCTGGCAGTCTACTGCTGAAAAAATTGACCAGTGAAAACCTTATGAAAAGCAGTGGAACATTGTCTGATACGGTGCCGGAATATGAGCCCCTCAGGTTGGAAGGCACTCAAAATATGACTGGGGAAGAGCTGCCTCCTCAAATTACAGTTGACCTTAATGACGTAGATGGAGTAAAGCTTTCGGGACCTTCATTTGCTGATGTGGCGTGACTCAAGATGAGAAGAAACAGCGGAAAATGCCCATTAATAATCAGAACATGAAATGAAACTAGGAAAATTGGAAGTCTTCAGAAGTGAAATGGAACACATAAAGATCAATATCCTAGGCATTAGTGAACTGAAATGGAATGGTATTGGGCATTTTGAATCAGACCATCATATGGTCTACTATATCAGGAATGACAAATTGAAGAGGAAAGGCGTCACATTCGTCGTCAAAAAAAACATTTCCAGATCTGTCCTGAAGTTCAGTGCTGTCAGTGATGGAATAATATCCATACGCCTACCAGGAAGACCAGTTAATAATGACTGTTATTCAAATTTACACATTACCCACTACTGCCAAAGAATAAGAAATTGAAGATTTTTACCAACTTCTGCAGTCTGAGATTGATCAAACATGCAATCAAGATGCATTGATAATTATTGGTGATTGGAATACAAAAGTTGGAAACAAAGAAGAAGGATTGGTAGTTGGAAAATATGGTCTTCTGATAGAAACTACGCCGGAGATCATGAACCTCACCAGATGAAATAAACTGGAATCAAACTGACTACATCTGTGGAAAGAGACAATGGAGAAACTCAGTATCATCAGTTAGAACAAGGCCAGGGGGCCAGCTGTGCAATAGAGCATCAATTGCTCATATGCAAGTTCAAGTTGAAGCCAAAGAAAATTAAAACAAGTCCACGGAGCCAAAATACAACCTTGAGTATATCCCATCTGAATTTAGAGACCATTACGAGAATAGATTTGATGCATTTAACGCTAGTGATCAAAGACCAAATGAGTTGTGGGATGACATTAAGGATGTTATACATGAAGAAAGCAAAAGGTCATTAAAAAGACAGGAAAGAAAGAAAAGGCCAAAATGGATGTCTGAAGAGACTCTGAAACTTGCTCTTGAATGTAGAGCAGCTAAAGCAAAAGGAAGAAATGAAGCAAAAGAGCTGAATAGAAGATTTCAAAGGGCTACTCGAGAAGACAAAGAGTTACACCTGGAGTTAGAAAACCTAAAAGAACACGCTTGGCATTTCTCAAGCTGAAAGAGATGAAGAAAAAATTCAAGCCTAGAGTTGCAGTATTGAAGGAATCTCTGGGCAAAATGTTGAACATTGTAGGAAGCATCAAAAGAAGATGGAAGGAATACACAGAGTCACTGTACCAAAAGAATTGGCTGACAGTCATTTCAGAAGGTAGCATATGATCAAGGACCGATGGTACTGAAGGAAGAAGTCCAAGCTGCACTGAAGGCATTGATGGAAAACAAGGCTCCAGGAATTGACAGAATACCAATTGAGATGTTTCAGCAAACAGATGCAGTGCTGGAGGTTCTCACTCATCTATGCCAAGAAATTGGAAGACAGCTACCTGGCCACCTGACTGGAAGAGATCCATATTTGTGCCCTTTCCAAAGAAAGACGATCTAACAATGCAGAAATAAATCGAACCATATCATTAATATCACACGCAAGTAAAACGTTGCTGAAGATAGTTCAAAAGTGGGTACAGCAGTACATCAGCAGGGAATTGCCAGAAGTTCAAACCGGATTCACAAGAGGACATAGGATAAGGGGATATTATTGCTGATGTCAGATCGTTCTTGGCTGAAAGCAGAAAATACCTGAAAGATGTTTACCTGTGTTTTATTGACTATGTGAAGGCATTCGACTGTGTGGATCATAACAAATTATGGATAACATTGCGAAGAATGGGAATTCTAGAACACTTCGTTGTGCTCATGAGGCAACTGTACATAGACCAAGAGGCAGTCATTTGAACAGAACAAAGGGATGCTGCATGGTTTAAAATCAGGAAAGGTGTGCATCAGGGTTGTATCCTTTCACCGTACTTAATCTGTCTATGCTGAGTAAATAATCCTAGAAGCTGGACTATATGAAGAAGAATGCAGCATCAGGATTGGAGGAAGACTCATTAACCTGCGATATGCAGATGACACAACCTTGCTTGCTGCAAGGGAAGAGGACTTGAAGCATTTACTGATGAAGATCAAAGACTACAGCTGTTGTATGGATTACGCCGCAACATAAAGAAAACAAAAATCCTTACAACTGGACCAGTAAGCAACATCATGATAAATGGAGAAAAGATTTAAGTTATCAAGGATTTCATTGTACTTGGATCCACAATCAACGTCAGTGGAAGCAGCAGTCAGGAAATCAAATGACATATTGCATTGGGGAAATCTGGTGCAAAAGACTTCTTTAAAGTGTTGCAAAGCAAAGGTGTCACTTTCAGGACTAAGGTGCTTTGGACAGGTTATCAGGAGGGAACAGTCCCTGGAGAAGGACATCATGCTTGGTAAAGTGGAGGGTCAGCAAGAGAGAAAAAGAGGAGGACCCTCAATGAGATGGATTAGCACCATGGCTGCAATGATGGGCTCAAGCATAGCAAAGATTGTGAGGATGGTGCAGAACCAGACATTTTGTTTTGCTCTGTTTACACAGGGTTGCTATAAGTCAGAACTGACTCTATGACACCTAACAACAAGCAGATAATCTTTAAACCTTAAACCAAAAATATCCCCTGAAGTTTTCTTAAAGCCAAATAATAGTTTAGCTTAATTAGTAAAGAATGTCTGCCTTGAGCATTATGCTCATATAAGATCTATCTCTATGGGATGAGATTGACAACAGCAACTTCAAAAGATTAGATAGAAACCTTAGGGAGCAGCGAGTGTATATTAATGGGAGAGGAACAACTCAGAAAAGGAGGATGAGAATGGTTGCACAGTTCAAAAAATGTAATCAATGTCACTGAAATGTACATATAGAAACTTGAAGTGGTGTATTTTTTGCTGTGTATATTCTTAACAATAAA